AAATATTTTCTAAAAATTCCGAAAACCGGATGTATCAGATTCCATTAAATATGCTCCCATTCCCAGGAGAGTTCATCTCGACGGATGGCTCCAATGCGTTCGACCCACTAAACTGAGATGGCACAGAGAAAATTTTCTTCCTTCGTCAGCACCTGACCCTGAACATTGTTTCCGAAGGGCAGAAACAGAGCCCTACCGGACAGCATTGCAATTAACGGAGTTTGAACATTACAAGATTTAAATTTGGGGAACAGATCAACAAGGATCATGTAAAAAAAAACTCAGCAGAACCTCAGAACTACCTTGACCAACAGAGAACACAGGGGCAGATCAACATCATGTAAAAAAAAACTCAGCAGAACCTCAGAACTACCTTGACCAACAGAGAACACAGGGGAGTTGTTCACAGACCAGCTTGCTTCAACCTGTTTTCAGCCTTGCGTTTTAATTGGTCAACGATGAGCCTCAAGGTCGCTGCGCGTGATATATAATTGGTAAGTGGTAACTGCGCAAGGGAGCACAATGGACAAGAAACACGGCTCCAAAGAAAGGAAGGGTTCTCGCTCAAGTTCCAGCTCAAGTTCTGGTTCAGGTCATGGAGGGCACAAACGAAGTGGTTCTAAGGAACACAAGCGACACGGTTCAAAAGAACGCAAACATGGAGATTCGAAGGGCCACCATTCGAAGGAACATGTAAGAAGACCATGAAACTTAAGTCTAAATAATTAATAAAAGGAACCCATTTTTGTGCTAAGCAAGAATCCATGCACTCCTTACTCTTCCGTCTACCCACGGGAACCCGCTCCCGGGTGGAAGAATAGGATATCAAAACTGCGTCTTAAACATCAATGAATGTTATTCTAGACGGCAGCATGATGACATTCCCATGACTTCAGTCCAAGCACTGGTTTCAAGGATCATCCGCAGGGTCAAATCCAAATAAAGAGACTGTATATCACGAACCCATCTCCACTAACAATAAACCAAATAAAGCAAAGTGTAAATCTATGGTCAGTGGGGTTGTTTGGGTGTAAATATTGTTAGGTTTGCCCAAGTTATTTATTCCACTTAATGTAATCCAGAATCAATGTTTTCTACCACAGAAGCCACGCAATCACCAATGAAATGTTTGCCTTAGATATTGGCAAGACATTTGTAAGGGGTAAGCTAACTGAAAATCGGCTAGCACGACAACAAAAGCAGGTTTTTAGTCACATTTTGGAAAATAACCTAGAAGATATTCTTACCTCTCTACCCATCTTATCTGGAACCACTCCAAAATAACCTGCTTATTGAGCTCCACAGGATACTTTTTTATACCTAAACGCATAAATTATGAAGGCTTTATACAAGGACCCTTTATAAATGGTCATGTTGCCCTCGAAATGATGTGGGTTGTTATTTCTCATACAACGATTGCAGCATTTACCTCAACAAAAAGAATGAACTTCTGTTAAAAGCCTTTCACATGAAGCATCTGACATCCACGTTAAGTGAAAGCGTAGCCAAATAAAACGAGAGAATTATATTACTATACAGTAAAATACATTGGGTACGATTTTAAGGAGCTGCTTTTCCACATCGTTTGGTTCTTTCAGTCACAGTGTATTTAACATGAACTCTTTCTTGCGTTTCTCCTCTTCTCTCATTTTGCGCCTGAGCGCGGATCATTCTGGTTGCCATTTGACGGGTATTTTAATCGCGGTCGAGCTGTCTCAGATGGCTCCTATTCACATGCTTCAGAACTACTTTTGGTGATTATTCCGACAATAAATTCAAAGTTTTTTTCAGCGGCTGAGAGAGATTCATTTGAAAGGCTTACAGAAGTGAAAAATCAACTTCCGATTTTGAAGTGTCCCGTGTTGCAGATTCCCCCTGGCTGCTTTGATATATCGTATTCACTAGCACTTGCAGACACCAAGATCACCTAATGTGTGTCAATCCTTCTAATTTGACTCCTCATCCTTGCATCCGAGTTGAACAACACGTTAACTAGCATTACGTCATTGGGCTTATGAAGTTTTTGGTACGTTTCACCCAACATAAAAAAGTCACAAACTCGATGTAGTTACCAGTCGCGTTTTTTCGTGGTACATACTAGCTAGTCCTGCATACGGTTATTAGTGACTCAAGGATTTGCATTCGTTCATCGAAGAAAATTTTGGTAAAGTTATCTTTTTACTGATATTGAATTTCCGAGCAAAATCAATTTAATCTAAACAGTAGTCAGTTGAGAGCTAAATTTTCAAAAAGGAATGACGATTTTTATTCCAATTTTATTTACAGAAACACTAGAACCCGTATTCCAGACCCGGACGACGGAGAGTAAAACAAAGTTTCTCTATTATTTAAGCGACTCCTTTTATCTTTAGTTACCTTTTGGAGTGAATTTGGGAATAAAGTTTTGCACTCCATGCATGACCTTTCTAAATCTCTGGTTAAATGGGGCTTTTATGGGACAGTTTCCTCATATTATAAGGTAACCCCTAAAAACCTCTTTATTTTATAAGTGCATGGTTATAACCGAATTCCACTGTGAGATGTAAAGAAGGACTTAGCGACAAGTCCCCGTTTCTCAGACATTAAAGCGCAAATAACAACAAAACAAATTTTAAATTGTGTAATGTTTGAAGTTGCTAGTAGTTTCATAAGCAAATTCCTCGGAATAGGTTTAAAAACACACAAAAAATGAACATGTGAAGGATCTTGTATCAGCTAACAAAATGGCCGTGATTTGGATTTCTAGGTTAAAGAACATTGTAAAAGAAGCAAATTTATGTGCAATGTTTTTTGCTGTGTTTTGCCAATTGTAAGGTTTTTATGTCAAAATTACTGGTTGACAGTTAACACGCACAGAATGCTTAAAGCTGATTACGGTTTGATCGCTGTCTGGACATGAATTTTACTTGAGCAAATCTAGGCGATACATGGCTAACTAATGACAATCTTTCCTAGAGGCTGTCGAAAAATCTCCGGCTGTCCATTACTTGTTTTGCCTAACATGGTTCTGCGTAAGTAGGTGTAATATCCAAAATTATATCAAATAGGCTTATTTTCAAATATCAATTCGTACGCAGTTAGCGAACAACACTCATTTGCAAATTAACCTCATGCTAACAAAGGGCATCATTTTGTAGTGTTAAAGCGAAATATGATGCGAACAGGGCATCTCATGTTTTACTTGGCCTGCGATTGGGATTTGTAACATTATAACCTAATAAACCGTAATATTCATGAATTTTTGCAAAATTTGCCTACTTGTTGATCTCCGAAAAGAGCGAATTCCATAATGAGCCGTCGAAGAGTTTTCACCAACCTTATGCGAAATGTATCATAGCATGTTCCTTTACCCAGTACCACTGGGCGGTATTTATGCCGTACATTCAGTTAAAGAATAACATAAATAAGAAATACAGTTGAGTATCTGGTCAAAGTCTACTAAGTTTTCTAATGGTCAAAATTTGCCAAGAGAAATCGCATTTATCCCTTAGTTGTTTTCCAGTTTCCAAAGATGGCACTTTGGAAAAGGATACGGGTAAAATCTGTATGTTATAACTTGACCTTGAATTGTACCTGACAAGCCTAATAGAGGCCTTGTTTGGCAAACACGTGAGAAATTTGAAAGTTTGTCTGCTTATACAAATACCACTCTTTTGATGACACGTCGTTCACTGCGGGTATCGTGTCATGCATTTCGAGATAGTGAAAAAATTGACTGCCGTGAAACACAACGAAACTAAAGGCGATCCACCAGAAAACTTTCTAATTGTGAAGCTACCTATTGTATCTAATGGAACCAGCTTGTCAATGGAAGCTTTTATCCCGATAATATCCGGAGTGCTGTCAGGGAACCTTACTCAGACTTACTTACTAGGACACACAATGTGCAAAACCGTATTATCGATATAGATGTAATTGTGAAGTACCTATTGTATCTAATGGAACCAGCTTGTCAATGGAAGCTTTTATCCCGATAATATCCGGAGTGCTGTCAGGGAACCTTACTCAGACTTACTTACTAGGACACACAATGTGCAAAACCGTATTATCGATATAGATGTTATATGCCTCTGTTAAATCAGTCGCCAAAATCTAGCTCTTTATAGGACTAGTCAGAGGCAAATATACCGAAATGTTATGTCATTTTAATTAACGGTGATACTCATCAACATGCAAGTATGCAAAACTGGAATTTTCACTTCCCAGCATACGGACATATTTATAAGTGGGTGGTGTGGGGCTTACAACACTCTTAGGAGAACAAACGACCAGCCTTGTCAATTTTACGCAAAACAAGAAACGCCTATCTATCGGACACACTGCCTACATACGGTATCCCTTTTTCATATACGTGACTGGCTTTCGAAAGATATCAGTCGAGCGACTTGAGTGATCTGGATATTTTAATGTAGAAGATTCAGCAAACTTGTTCAAACCGGGAAAGTCTTTCCAAAGCATATGAAAATGACCAGTTTTGGCTGAGGTAAAATTTGGCCATGATTGATTCCAGCACGCAATAGTCCAAATGGTTTCTCTCTGCTTCTCCTGTTATATCTATGCGGAAATTTTTGGAAGCTGCTTCTTAGCATCCAATTTTAATACCTATGCCTATTGTAGGGGACTAAATATCGTTTCTCCTCGCTTTCAACGACCTCCACTTGGTTGCTTTGTATGACAGAAGTTTCAGTAAAGATTTTAATTTTAATTTTAAATTTTAAATTAAATTTAAATTTTAATTTTTTTAGTTTTAATTTTACTTCTGCGGTGTTGAAGCGTTATTTAATCCTGATTTGGTGTGAAGGTTTGCTTGTGTATTTCAAAAGATTAGTCCGACTTTCATATGCATCTTATGTTTCCACTAACTGTGTGCTGGCGCTCGGTTTTAGATGGCTTTGATTGGGAGCAGGTACACAAGTGATAAATTTGTCATCAGTATAGCTACTGAAGTCCATTTGGTCCATGGTTAATTATCCAGAATTTAGATAGTCGCTCAAGCAATGTAACCGCTTTGTCATAGCCTTTTCTGAAAAAAGGCCGGTGTGGCAATCCTACTGACCATAAATTATAAATGCTGCAACTGAAACATCACACCTGCAAAATCATGGGCCTCCAAGCACCAGTGCCATGTTCACTCTCTAGGCTTTCATCAGAATAACTCAGTTTGTTTGTCACATCTGCCGACACGTACACGTGAAAAGAATTCGAACAAACCCAACAAAAAGTGTCATTTAGCACCAGATTTTTCACAGAAAGAACCAACAGCTTGTTAACTGGCGCCCTAAAATCGTTGGCAAATTCTATACTTTGCTGATTCAGGTGACCAGCACATGTTGGGAATGACTAAGCATCAAAGTAAATTCATCTACTGCATACAGATCAAATGTTATCATTAATAACATATATATGAGCTACTTTTATTGTATATAGTCCTAGTTCATTCTAGTAACAAAGCCTACAAGATGTGGAAGCGTCTGCTAGATGGGTTGGTTCCGGCTAATCCACACCATTTTGTCTGCCGGGGTTAGAGTCCAACAGCAGTTGTTATCTCGTACGAAACAAAAGGTAAGGAACATGCAAGGTAGTGAAGTAGCAAACCATATGTAGCGGACAGGGTAGGTTTTTTCTACAAACATGATATTGTGCATATAAATTATACAAACTGAAGTGAAAATTAGTTTACTTGAAACCGGGAG